GTAAAGTAAAAAACAAAGAATCTAGGTAAACAGACAAGGCTAAAAGTGGAACTTTAGATATATAGCAAAAAAATTAGATACCTAATTATATTTTACCTAGTGTTAGATACCTAATTATGCCTAAAAGACAAATATATGGCCTAATTTCCCTATATTATATCATAAAGAGTTTACAAGAGACAGAAACATGTTCGATACAATTGTTAACGCAAATAAAGGAAATTAGAATCAATTTCGATGAAAGAGTGGAGAGTAACCAAACTATCCTTTCGGGACATGTGAAATCGGTTATGTCCCCCCCTTCATATATTTGTAGGTTATCATACTGTTTTTGGGTCGTTTATATATAACTAACATTTGCATTATTGATGCATGAAATAAAACTTTATAATCATTTTTTTCCAACATTTCGATTTATTGAAACTGATTTAACACATATTACATGAGAAGAAGAGTTTGACAAATACAATTGTAAAGAGACACTAAAGGTTTTTTCCACATTGGGAAGTAAGTGAAGACAAACATCTTTAAAGACACATTAGGGATACCAAAACGGTCTTGATTTCGAATCCAAAGTAAACAATTAGTTGTTCATGTATCCACAATAACAGCCCGACTTCCAATATCATTTACGATAACACAACAACGATTCTCTTAAACTAGATAATATCTTTCCATGATTGCCTTTATTATTTTTGTTCCCGACACCACTATTAAACAAATTTAATATGCAAAACTTAAATCAGATAGATCTAGACTCGTTGAAACCAAGCTCAAGAGAACAAACCCAACAATATAACAAAATCGAACACCAAGCGAAAAGGATAAGACACCAACCGACAAAAGCTTAGAGGTTTACAAATTCGCCTCAAGTAGATGTAGGACATAAAAAGGAAAGACAAAAGCTTTTTGTAGACAAACTACACCATAGATTTCTCTCCTTCAACCTCAAGACTCACATGTGAGTGTGACCATGGTTAGAAACACCATAGCCTCCGCTTTACAATCGCCGGGATTATATCACCAAAGAAAAAACTGAAACAACCAAAAGAAAAGCAAGTATACGGGATGATCGGCGAAGGTGCTAAAAGAGCTACCGACGCCGGTCGTCGACAAAGACGAATCGAAAGAGCTTTTGACGGCAGCTGTGGAGTCGAGAGAGAAAGCCCTGAAAAATAAATATCTTTAGTTCCGGAAGAAAAAAAACTTTATAATCATTAGAAAGAAAATTTTGCCTCAAAGTTTCTACAATTGAATGCATCCGTAAACTTTAGGATTCTCCTCGAATGCGTTAGAAAAATTTCCTACCCAATAAATTGATAGAAGAAGAGAAGAAAGACAAACAACTAATAGAAGAGAATCGTATACAAGAGTTGGTTCCATGTATCAGGAAGACCAGGCAAGCACCAATGGCTACAATCTGCAGACTGGTCTGGTCTAGACCGTTGTGAACCGCTGATTAGACCGCTGTACACAGACGGATGACCGTCTTTTCTAAGGGAAGATAAGAGCGTGATGTCGAGAAGAAAAGCCGGATTGTGCATCCCGTGAAGCACTTCAACGATCACTGATCTTAGCTGATCTGTGTAGGAACTCACAGGGTAAGCCGCTCCTGTGATGGGCTCTGTCTCTCCGTAGCAGTTCTTGGATCCCGAAGACGATGATGCCACCCAGTCACTCGGGCTGATCAATCACAAACATATATACAACTGAATTTTCAGGACATCATTCCCTTCAAAAACATTAGAAGTAATTCCAATTTGAGAAAGAGAGAGAGTTACTTGTCATGCGTTGGAGAAATGGAGAGGAAGAAGACTTGGGTTCGGGATCTATCGACGTTTGTTTCGACCCAATAAGCCCAAGTACGAAGAGCTTTCTCCATTGCGACGAAACGGTCCATGTCTTGGTAATAGGAACTGCCTGATTGAATCACGTCCCATCTGTATTTCACAAAAGGAGGTCAATCTCTATGATATATATTAAGACACTTGTTGAGTCTTCGACATAGCAAAATGAAATCATTGGTTTGAATTGAGATTTTTACCCTTGCATATTTCCGGTATGGCTCCACCAGTGACCGGTATTGAAAATGAGTAGATCAGCGTCGTGCCACGCATTGGCATTGCCAGAGATCTCATCAAGTTTCAACACTCGCTTGCCTTGAACAGCGTCTATATCCACCAAGAAGGGAGCTTTGTAAAACGACATCGTTATACCATAATCCTACATCAATACACAAACATTTTCCTTATAGAAAGAAACGTGAGACATGAGACAAGAAGAAAAAAGAAAGCAGTACCAAGAATCTGAAGGTGGAGAGAGGAAGGCCTCTGGTCATCTGAGTCCGAGTAGACGGTGCAGATGAAACGATGAGGCAAATCAACGACTCCCACTGATTCTTCCCCAATGAATCACCCGCAAACATTATGTTTTTCCCTTTCATTTTCAACAGAAACTCAACACCATTGAACCTAATCATCATTCCATTAACAATTTACTAACACATCAAAGCCAAATATATAAACCTTTCTCAATACAAAATTTCAGATTCCATATGAAATTGAAGCTCCTTTACATGAAATTGGAGACGAAATTTAACAGCTTTGGGTAAATACGTACGTGGGTAAGTTGCAATTCTGAGGTTGCCAACGATACTTGAGGTAGTCGGAGTCAGGACGACCGTACATCTGGCAATCGAACTCCGGTTCGACGACGGCGGGACAATCGGCCGGTTTATAGAGAGGATAAGAGTTGTCACGGACCCACGTGCCGAGGAAGAGAGAGCACGTGCTCTTGTTCCCTTGGAAAGCAGATGGTCTGCTCGAGCTGTATTGGTTACTGCCACTGCTACTGCTACTGCTGCTTCCATGGCGTTTCTTCAAGCTCAGTATAATAGCTGAAGAAGATGGATGCACTAGTACAACAAGAAACAAAATGGCGGATACTGAGATGCGAACAAGAAAACTCATCTTTTTCTTTCTTGCTTTGCCGG